CTACTACTTTCTTTCTTTATGGTTTCAAAGACAAAACAGTCTCATCTTTTTTGTTTCCTCATCTTGTGTGTGAAGTAAAACTTCAGGGTTGTATTTATTTCACTCTGATTTCTTATAACGTAGTGAATGCTGCGTCCTTAGCCTCCTCCTCGACTCCGAGACCTCCGCTGCCTAGGAGGTCCCTGGCTCAACTTCTTGAAGTACAACGTGAGTGAAAAAGTAAAGTGGGGTTGACTCTTTAGCACTACTGTGTAGAAGTTCTGGCTTTCTTTCTTCTGTTGACAGATGAGAAAGGACTTAAAATTATACAGGTGAGATATACATAATGTCTGTTCACATATCTGAGCACATATAAATGTGAGCTTGATCCCTGGGTCGAGAAGATCCCCTGGAGGAGGGCATGGCAACCTGCCCCAGTATTCTTGCCTGGAGAATCCCATGGACAGAGGAGCCTGGTGGGCTATGGTCCATAGGGTTGTAAAGAGTCAGAGATGACTGATCAACTTAGCCCACGGCACACAGGTGAGCTATACCTAATATCTGTTCACATATCTGAGCACATATAAAGATGTCTGCTTCTTTTGAGTTAGAAGGGAATAATTTTGAGCTTTTCCTTTTGGACTCTGTGGGAGAAGGCAAGGGTGGGATGTTTCGAGAGAACAGCATCAAAACATGTATATCATCTAGGGTGAAACAGATCACCAGCCCAGGTTGGATGCATGAGACAAGTGCTCGGGCCTGGTGCACTGGGAAGACCCAGAGGGATCGGGTGGAGAGGGAGGTGGGAGGGGGGACCGGGATGGGGAATACATGTAAATCCATGGCTAATTCATTTCAATGTATGACAAAAACCACTGCAATGATGTAAAGTAATTAGCCTCCAACTAATAAAAATAAATGGAAAATAAAAAAAGAATGAAGGTAAACTTATGAAAAAAAAAGAGCTTTTCCTTTTAAAAAGAGCGGGAAACTCTCTAATGTGTTTATAATGAAAAGATGCAATAGCTCATTATTTCCTGACTCTCTTGTGGTTTTTATTACAGTTGAAGTAATACTGGGTTACATATACTAACACACTCATGCAGTATTCATAGACATGGTGCTATGAATTTTTATATATTTCTTATATCACTTAATCCTAACAATAATCCTAAGAGGTCAGTACTATCACCAGGAGATAAATGTGATTTGTCTAATATTTCAAAGCCTGTTATGAAGGTTCAAAAATTAGAACTCATAGATTGACACGTATACTATTGATACAATGTTAAAATAGATAACTAGTGAGAGCCTGTATCACACAGGGATCTCTACTTAATGCTTTGTGTGACCTAAACGGGAAGGCGATCCAAACAAAGATGGAATATATGTATACTATAACAGAGTGTATGTATACATATAGCTGACTCACTTTGCTCCACAGTGGAAACTATCGCATTATAAAGCACCATACTCCAATAAAAATTAAAGAAGAAAATGAATTATAACTCAGGTCTGCTTGCACCAATCAGGGTCCAATTACTAAAGGTCCAAAACTACGTGGTGGTTTGAGCAGGAAATGTTTAATGTAAAGAACTATTTACTCTGATGGAGATTAGGGTAACTGAGATAGACTGTGGGTGTGTGCTAAGTCACGTCAGTCGCATCCAACTCTTTGTGACTCCGTGGACTGTAGCCCACCAGGCTCCTCTGTCCATGAGATTCTCCAGGCAATAACACTGGAATGGGTGGCCATGCCCTTCTCCAGGGGATCTTCCTGACCCAGGGATCAAACCCACGTCTCTTATGTCTCCTGCATTGGCAGGTGGGTTATTTACTACTAGTGCCACCTGGGAAGCCCAAGCTTGGCTATTAAGGGTAAAAGGAACCTTAAAGAATTGAGAACACAGAGAGAACAGACTTATGGACATGGGGACGGGGGCGGGGGGAGGAAGAAGAGGGTGAGATGTGTGGAGAGAGTAACATGGAAACATACACATCACCATATGTGAAATAAAATGGTTAGCCAGTGGGAATTTGCTATGTGACTCAGGGAACTCAAACGGAGGCTTGTAACAACCTAGGGGGTGGGTAGGATGGGAGGTGGGGAGAAGGTCGAGGGAGAGGAGATAGGTGTACCTGTGGCTGAGTCATGTTTGACAGAAACCCACACGGTACTATAGAGCAATTGTCCTTCAACTAAAAATAAATAAATTCAATTATAAAAAAAAAAACTGAGAAGAGGAGTCACTCTAACTGTCAGTCTGAGGACAGAGCACTTAAGGAAAGAACAAATTTTAAACAATGCCCCTTACCATATTTCTCCCTTTAGCTTGGGTCCAGATCTTCTTGGAGAGGACACAGCTGTGACCCAGTAAATAGCTGCTGCTGCTAAGTCGCTTCAGTCGTGTCTGATTCTGTGCGACCCCACAGACGGCAGCCCACCAGGCTCCCCGTCCCTGGGATTCTCCAGGCAAGAACACTGGAGTGGGTTGCCATTTCCTTCTCCAACGCGTGAAACTGAAAAGTGAAAGTGAAGTCGCTCAGTCGTGTCCGACTCTTAACGACCCCATGGACCACAGACTACCAGGCTCCTCCGTCCATGGGATTTTCCAGGCAAGAGGACTGGAGTGGGGTGCCATTGCCTTCTCCGCAGTAAACAGCAGACACTGACTAATGTAGCATGCTAGTGTAGTTCCCAGGGAAGTTACTTACTGAGGTTCTGGGGAAGCTGTCTTCAGGGAAGTGTCTCGACGTGGAAACCATCCCAGGGAAGGTGGTGCCTCAAGGAACGTGCCCACACGCTCCCAGCGTGTGTCTCAGGAGCCCTGTGAGGCACCAGGCCGTGTGGCCCAGGACGCTCTGCACTGTTAGTCACTATTTACTGCAGGAGAAAATCCCCCTGAAGCAGGAAGAACCCCTTTATCCACTAGCTCCCTAGATTACCTTCTATCAGGGATGTTTAAAATTTTGCCAGATGGCAAGGGGAAAATATTCTAGTCTCACAAATAGGACAATGAAGATGGATTTGGGGTGAGGCAATAGATGGGGCTTCCCTGTGGTGCTAGTGGTAAAGAACCCGCATGTCAGTGCAGGAGATGTAAGAGAGATTGGCTCAGTCCTAGGTTGGGAAGAGCTCCTGGAGAAGGGCGTGGCAACCCACGCCAGTACGCTTGACTGGAGAACCGCACGGACAGAGGGAGCTGGCGGGCTCCAGGCCATGGGGTGGCAAAGAGTCGGACATGGTTGAAGTGACTTAGCACGTAAAAAAGGTATCTGGTACACTATCTACCAACAAATCTGCTTTTTTATTAATTTATTCATTATGTTGTACCACCTTATACTTAACTGTACTACAAAATATGATATTTAAAAAAAAAATAAAGGGGAGAGAAAGGAAGGAAGGTAGTTGGGAAAAAAAGAAAAAAAAATAACAGAATTATAAATGAAGATTTATATTAGCATCTCTCTTTTCTTTGAAATGTTTCTAGGTGGAATTGCTTTGAATTAATTGCTCAGTAGACTGCCTCATTGAATTTTAGGACATTGACTTATCAACCAAAAACTGAAAACACAAACTGGAGGCCCTAGGGCCGTAACCAGTGATTTTTCACTCCACAATTTAAACCACTCATTAATCACAGCTTTCTCATCTACTAGTCATTGTTGTTTAGTCTCTAAGTTGTGTCCAACTCTTTTTGACCCTATGAGCTGCAGCATACCAGGCTTTCCTGTCCTTCACTATCTCCTGAAGTTTGCTCAAACTCATGTCCATTGAGTCAGTGATGGCTATCTAACCATCTTATCTGCTGCCATGCCCTTCTCCTCCTGCCCTCAATCTTTCAAAGCGTCAGGGTCTTTTCCAATGAGTCAGCTCTTTGCATCAGGTGGCAAAAGTACTGGAGTTTCAGCTTCAGCATCCGTACTTCCAATGAATATTCAGGGTCGGTTTCCTTTAGGATGGACTGGTTGGATCTCCTTGCAGTCCAGGGGGTTCTTAAGCATCTTCTCCAGCACCACAATTTGAAAGCTAGTTAATGCAGGTCATATTCGCTTGACAAACATTTGTTTGCAAGTGAGAACTTCTCCTCAGTTCAGTTCAGTTCAGTCGCTCAGTTGTGACCTACTCTTTATGACCCCATGGACTGCAGAACACCACGCTTCCCTGTCCATCACCAACTCCTGGAGCTTACTCAAACTCATGTCCATCATGTCGGTGATGCCATCCAACCATCTCATCCTCTGTTGTCTCCTTCTCCTCCCATCTTCAATCTTTCCTAGCATCAGGGTCTTTTCAAATGAGTCAGTTCTTTGCTTCAAGTGGCCAAAATATGGCCAAAGCATCTACTCAGATAATCGAAATCCTAATTGCGTCAGTTGCAGACTCTAAGATTTAGGCGAGTTATCTAATTTCTTTGGGTAGTTATCTAATTTCTTTGGGCTCAAATTCCTCATGTAAAACGATGGTAATAACAGTATCGACCTTACAGGTGTGCTGTGAAAATTAAATGTGTTAATGTTCAAAAGCACTTGGGGCCATTTCTTGCATATAGTAAGTGCTATATAAATATTTGTATAGGTGATGTTACATTTTCTTAAAGACCATAGCCTAAGAATAATGATTCAGTAGTTCTAGTTTATGGAACTCTATATTTACTCAATATTCTTGTTAGATTATTGTTTAATGGCAATTAAAAATATGATTATGTCATAGTATGTATAATATGAATGCTGTTAGTTGGTTATCTTACTCTTTTTCACAGCTATTAACAGCACTGCCTTAGAATGATAGTGTTTGAGGATTCTACCTGTAAGCCTTTACTCCTTAACTTTTGCTAGGAATTATCTGAAAGACCAGATTTTTGGTGAAGTATTTTTGGCTAAAGAGAACTACGTTGCATAACCATTAGCATTCAAATGTTTCAATAGTTTCTAATTTTCATCCCTTAAAAGAAAGGGATATGAAATTTTATAAAAGGTCTAAAATTAAAAAAGAATCTTGTTTTTTATTCTTTTTACAGAAGACCGTGAAAAATACTCTAATATCATCAAGAAGCACAATGCAATTGAAATGTTATTTACACTCTACCCTCCTCAAGGTGCCCATGTGTCTACTAATTTGAGGCTTAGGTCAACTTGGCTGAGACCCATAGTAAATGGGGAAGAAGGATATAAGTATATAGGTAAGATTCTGAACCTTATTATTTCTTTTTATAAATAAGGAAGAAACTTGTACTTTATATAACTCTTATTCATCACTTAGATGATATGGGATGATACATTGGCCTCATAGAATATTCCCATTTGTTTTTAAGTATTATACTTGCAGTTTAAAAAGTGGCTGTTTTATACTTTCGTGACTCCATTAGAATAGTGGAAATACTGTGTTAATTCATTCACCGGATGATGGATATATATATATATTTTTAATGTGATCCTACAAGGAAAACTGCTATACACATTCATGTACAGGGCTGTGTATAGACATGTGTTTGCATTTCTCTTGTCTAAACTTATTTCCAAAGTGCTTATGCCATTTCATATTTCCTATCAGTAGAAATATGAGAGTGGCTTTTGTTCCATAGCTGTATCACTACTCACTGTAATCAGTTATTTTAATTTTAGCCATTCTAAGTGATATGAATTGGTATTCCATTGTGGTTTTAATTTGCATTTCTCTAATAGACAATGATTCAATGTCATGGCCAAGGGGCTTGCATAACTCAATGAAACTATGAGCCATGCCATGCAGGGCCACCTAAGAGGGAAGGTCATAGTGGAGAGCTCTGACCAAACATGGTCCATTGGTGGAGGGAATGGCAAATCACTCCAGTATTCTTGCCACCAGAATCCCGTGAACAGTATGATAAGGCAAAAAGATATGATACTAATTATTTAGGAAGATGAGCTCCCCAGGTTGGAGCCCAATATACTACTGGGGAAGAGCAGAGGGCAATTACTAATAGCTCCAGAAACAATGAAATAGCTGGGCCAAAGTGGAAGCAGCACTCATTTTTGGATGTGTCTGGTGGTGAAAGTAAAGTCTGATGCTGTAAAGAACAATATTGCATAGGAACCTGGAACATTAATTGGTCCATGAATCAAGGTAAGTTGGCCATGGTCAAGCAGGAGATGGCAAGACTGAGCATTGACATCTTAGGAAACAGTGAACTAAAATGGAAGGGAATGGCTTTAAAACTCAATATTCAAAAAACTAAGATCATGGCATCCAGTCCCATCACTTCATGGCAAATAGATAGGCAAAAAGTGAAAATGGTGACAGATTTTATTTTTCGGGGCTCCAAAATCACTGCAAACAGTGACTGCAGCCATGAAATTAAAAGACACTTGCTCCTTGGAAGGAAATCTATGACAAACCTAGATGGTGTATTAAAAAGCAAAGACATCACTTTGCCATCAAAGGCCCAAATAGTGAAAGCTATGGTTTTTCCAGTAGTCATTTATGGATGTGAGGGTTTGACTATAAAGAAGGCTGAGCACCAAAAAGTTGATGCCTTCTAATTGTGGTGCTGAAGAAAACTCTTGAGATTCCCTTGGACAACAAGATCAAATCAGTCAATCATAAAGGAAATCAACCCTGAATATTCACTGGAAGGACTGATGCCAAAGCTCCAATACTTTGGCCACTTGATGTAAAGAGCTGACTCATTGGAAAAGACCCCGATGCTGGAAAAGATTAAAGGCAGGAGAAGGGGGCGACAGAGGACGAGACAGTTGGATGGCATCACTGACTCAATGGACATGATTTTGAGCAAACTCTGGGAGATGAGGGACAGGGAAGCCTGGTGTGCTGCAGTCCATGGGTCACAAAGAGTCAGACACGACTGAGCGACTGAACAACAACAAGGAGTAGACAATGATATAACAGCATATTTTCATGTATTTGTCATCTTTCTATCTTCCCTGGTGAAGTGCTTGTTAAAACTTTTTGCCAAAAAAAAACCAAAAAACTTTTTGCCATATTTATAATTTTTGCTATTGTTCTTAATTGTTGAGAGACATTTCAACATTCTGAATGTAAACTCTTTAACACACATAAGCTTTGTAATATTTTCTCCCAGTTTATGGCTTATTTTTTCTCTTTCTCTTTCTTCTGAACAGCAGAGGATTTTAATTTTGAAAGTGTCAAGTTTATCACAATTATGACTGATGCTTTTACTGTCATATCCAAGAAATATTAGTTAGACCTTTGGTCAAAATATTTTCTTCTATAAATTTTACAGTTTTAAATTTTATATTTCAATGTATGATTTTTTGAATTATATATTATACATGACTCAAGGTAGCTAACATATTGACATTCAAATGTGCTAGCACTGCCTGTTGAAAAGACTATCCTTCTGTGAAATTAACTTTGTATTTTGGGAAACCAAAAAACCAAAGAAAATATATGGATGCAAATAATCACATTAAAAGATAACCAGAATCAATAATCAGTAAGGAAATACATATAAAAACCAAAATGTCATACTACCACTCATCTATTAGAATGCCTAAAATAAAAATTAAAAATCTGATAATTCCAAATCTGGTCAGAATGTGGAATAGCTGTCACATTCATACATTGCTAGTGGAAATGCTAAGTTGCACAACCAGTTTCTAAAGATTTTGATACTTTCTTACAAATTAATATGCTCTAACCATAAAGCCTAGGCTCAGACGGTAAAGTGTCTGTCTACAAAGCGGGAGACCCGGGTTCGATCCCTGGGTTGGGAAGATCCCCTGGAGAAGGAAATGGCAGTCCACTCCAGTACTCTTGCCTGGAAAATCCCATGGATGGAGGAGCCTGGTGGGCTACAGTCTATGGGGTTGCAAAGGGTCGGACCCAACTGAGTGACCCCACCACCACCACCAACCATACAACCTAGCTGTCCTACACAAAGGTAATTATGCAAGAGGAATCAAAGTATTTGTTCACATGAAAACTATAATGAATATATATAGCTGATTAATCATAATTGCCAAGAGCTGGAACAACACAAATGTTCTTCAGCTAGTGAATGAATAATCAAAATTTGTTAACATGTATACAATGAAGTACTATCAAGCAATAAAAAAGAATGAGCTATTGATACAATAACATGGATGAATTTTAAATGCATCATGTTAAGTGAAAGAAACCAGACTCAAAGGCTATATGTGTGCCTGTGTGCTAAGTCGCTTCAGTTGTGTCTGACTTTTTGTGACACTATAGACCATAGCTTGCCAGGTTCCTCTGTCCATGGTATTCTTCAGGCAAGAATACTAGAGTGGGTTACCATGGCCTCCTCCTGGGGATCTTGCCGACCCAGGGATCCAGCCCACGTCTCTTAGGTCTCCTGCATTGGCAGGCAGGTTCTTTACCTCTAGCATCACCTGGGAAGCCCATTGATGGTATATAATACATTTAACAAGCAACATGACTGAATCTCAAATGAGTTGTGCTGAAAAAAGTCAGACAAAAAAGTACAAGAGTATGATTCTGTTTATATAAAAGTCTAGGAAGCTGCAAATAAACTAGGCCCATGACAGAATCAGATCTGTGGTTACCTAGAATAAGTGTGGGAAATGAAGTGAGACCCAATGGATTACAATAGATAATAGAAATGTTTATTAACTTAATTGTGGTTATGGGTGATGGTCCCATGGATGTAAACATATGTCAAAATTTATCAAATTATACACTAAATGTGTGTAGGTTTTCATTTACACATCAATGAAGCTATAAAAATAAAGTTGAAAACATAAATTTAAAGAACCAAAATAATGAAATTGCTATTTTGGGAATTTTTTTTGAAAGGTGATTCTCTTTAAGTTTTAAAATTAGTATGTTAGAGATATCTACAGAGAGTCACAAATTAAATGCAGTTTCATTTGGCTTGTGCATATAAAGGTGTATTTAAGCGCTCAGTTCTAAAAGATAGCCTGGAGAAAAAAGAGAAAACAAAAGACAGAAAATTATGAAAAAGAAGGTTGAGGCTTTAGGTTCTGTGAGATGAACTGAGATCCTGATTGCAATTTATTTTCTTTTGGCAATTTCCCCCCTTGAAAATTAGCTTATTATTCTAAAAAATTTGCATCACTGTCTAGAGATAGCCTATCATTCTAAAAGATTTGTGTCCATTGTTTAGAGTCCATTTGTGAACATTTGGTCCAAATAATCAAACAGAAAGGAGATATGCAAGTGGCCTTATAAGTTGAAGACTCCATCTTCTGAGGTTTTATGCTGTCTTTCCTCTTTTTAGTAAGTGGCCAGGGTGTTGTGTCTTTTTAAATTACAGTTTTTATTAAATTGATTGACAGTAGAGTTTGCAGCATTTGTCTTGAAAAAGATTAGTCAAATACAGAAGTGCCTTCTAAAACTCAGTAACTCCTTGACTATAAACATTTTAAGGAAGATAACTCTGGGAATTTATTACATTTTTCAATATTAATGCTCCACAGTGTAGCACTCCTGTATGTCGGTTTCACTCTGCAGATTTAGAGATGTATCATCAGCAAGAACTGAGGAATAGTTAACAGAGTTACTGAATCTCTATAAATGGCATGGGCTGCTAACAAATTATGTAATATTAAGATAACACATACTCTAAAAATATTTGGTATTTCCATATTTTACATCCTAGAATTCCTAGCACAGTAGCTTGAATATAACTGGAATGCTGCATAAGTCATAATTTCAAATTGCTTAATACGCACAAATTATTTCTTCTGAATCATTATTTTGTAATCTTACAACATCAATGAAGTAAAAAAAAAAGTCTAAATTTTTTTGGGGAGCATATGTCTTGTCAAACTTGTTTTCAGAAAGCTTATTTTGGAAGGCTAGTCTTTTAACATGCTTTTGATTGTCTTTCCTTATGAGTTGTCTGTCCTTGAACTCACCTGACCTTCTGGCCTGTCACAGATATACTGAACTTGTTCCTCTCCTTCATTAAGTTTCTGTGACTTTGATGAATGTCCAACTTGGAAGCTGTAGGTTACATTAAAGAGCTTGTGGGATTCTAATGGGAATGCCTTGAAAGGGGTAGGTTAGCCATTATCTTCCAAGGAAATAATTGAGGGAATACAAATGAATGATTAAGCTACTTTCTCAAGCCAATGGTCCATTCTTAACTGAAATCATATTATTATATTAATGTAAGATTTCTAATTAGTTCAGATTCCAAGTAATGAGCAAAGA